ATCTAACCTCTAGCTCATTGGGTTTTTTAAAAAAAGATTTTTTAAGTTTTTACTTTACACATATGGTTAAAAACAATGACACCTCTGGGGCATAGCCAGTTTTAACCCCAGGGCTTTTATTTGAAGAAACATTGTTGACACTTACTAGAAGATGTTTCATGCTTAATATCTAAACTCTAGCCAAACATCCAAACAATTACCTAGACAAGCATTCTGACCAAGTCTCATGACAGGTGAGTCAAAAATGTGATCACTACAGTGTTAACAAGGATTATCCATATTTGAGCAGTGCGACCTAGTTTTTTACCCAGGTGACACATATTCAAACTTGACCTAGAAATCATCAAAACAAACTTTCAGACCAATTTCCAGGATACTTGGATCAAAACAGTAGCAACTAGAGTGTTAACAAGATTTTTCTATTTTTAGCTCCGGTGACCTAGTTTCATATGCGATTTCGAACTCATCCAAGCAATTACCTAGACAAGCATCCTGACCAAGTTTGATGATAATTGAGTTGAAAATGTGACCATTAGAATGTTAACAAGGTTTTTCCATATTTGGGCGGTGTGACCTAGTTTTTCATCCAAGATGACCCATGTTCGAACTTTACTTAGAAATCATCAAAACAAACTTTCAGACCAATTAACAGAATATTTGGATCACAACAGAAGCCACTAGAGTGTTAACAAGATTTTTCTATTTTTAGCTCCTGTGACCTAGTTTTTCATCCGAGATGACCCATGTTCGATTTATTCCCAGCAATGACCTAGACAAGTTTCCTGACCAAGTTTGATGACAATTGAGTCATAATTGTGACCACTAGAGTGTTAACAAGGTTTTTCTATTTTTAGCTCCTGTGACCTACTTTTTCATCAAAGATGACCCATGTTCGAACTCATCCGAGCTATCACCTAGACAAGCACTTTAATCAAGTATGATGATGATTGATGCAAAAATGTGACCGCTAGAGTGTTAACAAGGTTTTTCTATTTTTAGCTCCGGTGACCTACTTTTTCATCCGAGATGACCCATGTTCGAACTCATCCGAGCTATCACCTAGACAAACATCCTGATCAAGTCTGATGATGATTGAGGCAAAAATGCGACCACTAGAGTGTTAACAAGGTTTTTCTATTTTTGGCTCCAGTGACCTACTTTTTCATCCGAGATGACCCATGTTCGAACTCATCCGAGCTATCACCTAGACAAGCATCTTGACCAAGTTTGATGATGATTGATGCAAAAATGTGACCGCTAGAGTGTTAACAAGGTTTTTTTATTTTTAGCTCCGGTGACCTACTTTTTCATCGGAGATGACCCATGTTCGAACTCATCCGAGCTATCACCTAGACAAACATCCTGACCAAGTTTGATGATGATTGAGACAAAAATGTGACTTCTAGAGTGTTAACAAGGTTTTTCTATTTTTAGCACTTGTGACCTAGTTTCTCATCCGAGATGACCCATGTTCGAACTCATCCGAGCTATCAACTAGATAAGCATCCTGACCAAGTTTGATGATGATTGAGGCAAAAATGCGACCGCTAGAGTGTTAACAACTAAATGTGAACGGACGGACGACGGACAATTATCGATCCTAAAAGCTCACCCTGAGCATGCTCAGGTGAGCTTAAAATAACATTTTTCTAGTAAAAAAATCTAAGTTGATGGGGAGATAATTCTTGCAATATTGGTGCTAGAGTTATGAACCTTGTCACATAACATGTGATTAATGATAAGGTACATATATTTGAAGTATGAAGTTGATTCCTTACGAAATAAATAAGTAACATTAAAAAATAATATTTCTTAAGGAAAATTCTAAGTGCAAGGGGAGATAAATCTGACAATATTGGTGCTAGAGTTAAGAACCTTGTCACATAAGATTGGGATGATGATAAGGAACATATATTTGAAGTATGAAGTTCATCCCTTAAGAAATAAAGAAGTAACAGTAAAAAATAGTATTTTTAAGGAAAATTCTTAAGTTTAAGGGGAGATAAATCTAAAAATATTACGTAATACAGGGCTCATCCTGGGGGGAAATTTTAGGGAGAAGTGACTTCCTCGCGAAACTTAGGGAGAATGGAAACAACCCAATGTGTATGCATTAACATGCATGGCTATACATCCTTTAATTATAATATAAACACAATTAACATCACATATAATATTTCTCCAGTTTATTAATTAATAGTAGATTAATTAATAGTAGTATTAATTAATAGTAGATTAATTAATAGTAGATCTGGCAATGACATCTAAATGTTTTTGAGCTGCAAATATGAATAAAAAAAATTATTTTTGATATCTATTGATCAGCTATTTATAAGCTTTCTCTAAATATGTGTTTATATATTTTCATGTAGATTTGTTGATAATAATGTGTAAGAAAAGATATGATGATAAAATCAATTTTATATTTTTTACTTTCCTCACTTTTAATAGAAGATGAAGTCACATTGGATATTGATTAATAATATCTGTTCTATTCTGTTTTGGTAACAGAATTTTCTTTCAAATTCCAAAGTGTTGTAATGTCACATTTATATGCATATAATTATGCTTATAAAACAATTTTCAAACATCAAAGAATATGTTAAATATGTACTGCAAACATTTGTGCACATTATATTTGATCACTAAAATAACATACATTCATTTCTTATTGAAAAATTTGACTGAGAAATTGTAGAAAATTAATTTCTAATTACCTCCCTTTATTTTCATGAAATGCTAAATTCGGTAATATCTTTATATTAGAATAATGCTTTTTAACATTTACAATATTGATAATCTTAATCTGAGCGTCATATTTACGACATTAAAACAAATATATATTGAAACAAAAAGAACACTTCTTTCCTGACAAATTTTGTTGTTATATACGTTACAGCCCATACCAATCGCAAGATTTTTGCGAATTGGCTTTCTTAAATTTTCGCGTAGGTGTAGCCTAACTATCAGAATCAGTAACTCGGTTTCGGCATTTCGCCTTGTAGCCATGACGTGAGCGACATAACAATTTTACAGTAAAAATTGATGTTAACAGACTGAAATCATTCAAGACTATGATTAAGTTTTTAATCCGGTCGCTGATCATTAATGAAATTGATTATTTTTAATTGACTAACAGTTTTGTGATAGCCGTGAAAAATCCATTGCACATCGCCTTTACTCGGGTTAAAAACCCGCCATCGAAGTGCATCGTGTACCGGTATATCAATTAGGGAAGATTGCACATGTTTAGATAATCTATAATTATCGCCAAATCCCGTATTAAACTCGCAAAACTATCACACAATTATACCGTTTCGGGCCGATGCTCTCATTATTTACTGTTTAGAGTAGGCGGTCTATCGCTTTGCTTACAGGTAGAAGGGTAGTATAAAGCGACGCTCTGATTGGATAATGATAATTAGCGGTCGTCATATGGGCGGATACAATCTCTGCTCTTTACTTCGCTAAGTAATTACTATTTGGGAATTAAGATTTTATCGGCGATGTTGACTTCTCTTTGATCAATCGGGAGAGCGAAATTGGAATATACACGGCGAAGTTTTCGCCTGAATCGCCCTTCCGGATGAGCCCTGTAATAACGTGTTAACCCTTTCGCTGCCAGAGGGTTATTGTTTTATTGATCACCTATTTGCCAGAGAGTTTTCTAAGAAATTACTATATTATTAATTAATATAATCATTATTATTTGTTATTAGGATTATAATTCCAAATATGTTAGTATAATAATAACTATTGTCGATGGTATAAATTTTTTTATATTTATTATTTTTATTATTATTAATTTATTATTATTATTATTATTATTATTATAGAAACGGCAAAAAGCCGTCCATATGGCAAATACGCCGAAAATAACAGAGGACGGCTTATGGCAGTGAAAGGGTTAATGCTGTATACTAAATATCATAAGGCTCTGATAAGTAGAACCATCGCCTGCCTGCCCGGAATCAAGTCTCAATACATGATGGTAAACAGTATTATTTTTTCATATAAAAAAAATTATGTAATTTTTTTTCGAAAACCAGTATTAAAGTCGCAACAGATATCCCATTACAGTCTTCGAAATAAGCGCCAGTCCGCGGCCACTAAATTTAGCATCGGTCCGGTGATTATTGCAAGGTAGGTGGTCCAACAGGCCAGTAGATTTTTGGCCATGAAAAAGTACCATAAGAAAAAATTCATCAAAATAATCTGGCAGGGTTCTCAAAAAAATCAATCTTTTTGCCATTTTGCAAATAAAACCCACCAATTTCAGTCCTTAGTGTACAAAACACAGCGAGAGAAGTCTAAATTTTATTTAGAAATGGAGGCCACCATTTTTTCTTAGATATTTTCTCTACCGCACCGTATAATTACGGAAATTAAACCATTGGTTATCATGATCATTATTTAGCTATTATTTGTGATAATTGAGTTATTAGTAATATATTTTGTGTGAATGTCATTTGTTTGAAGCAAATAGTGTCCTATAATATTACAATTTCACCATTATACTTGCTGTGTATTAAATAAATTGTTTACAAATAATAGTAATGGGACAAAAGCTTTTATGACCTAGTAGGCTTACATAATGATGTAAGAATTACTTTTATCAAAACCTGTTATGTTTTTATCACTTTTAGTAATTATGCATTTTCGTAATTCTAGATATCTTTCATAGAATCAAAAAATATCTAAGCTTTTATTTTGTTTTGCTCACAATACAACTTGTCTTCAAAATGTCTAAGAAGGAGAGAGAGAAAACAAACTCATGAAACTTTACATAAAATATGATTAAGCATTGTTTATGTTTATTTCTAGTCAGTTATACCTAAACATAACTAAACAACTGAAGGACATCTGGCCGAAATGGAATAAGGGGCCATTTCTTTTGTTATTTTCTTTTGTTTAATAGAGGGCCAATGGCGCCTTACTCTATTGTTACTGAAAGAACTCTATTGTTCTCTTTTTTTCTGTTTACAGTTAGATGGCCTCCTATCCCCATTCGGTAGTGCGGGCGGGCGTATGGAGGGATGGACAGACAGAGGCGAAGGGAAAACATATGTCTCCCAAATATTTTGGGAGAGATAATTATAAGCCAACAAAGCAATAAGTACAATAAGCATAGATACCTTTTCTACAGCTTTCTTCACATTTTCTGGATTATTAGCTGTCACATATGCATGTAAAGGTTCATCCTCACCAGGTAATGGCTGACCATCTTTACGACCTATCTTACCATCTTTCACTGAACCTTTCCCTCTAATAATAATTTTTGCACCAGTCTATCAAAGAAAAGGAAGAATGTGGATTATGACAACTAAAACAAAGCAGTCTGAAGGACAGCTAAATCCCCTTTTGCAGCGAACATAAATGTGTACTTCTTGACCTTAATCCAACCATGACCTTGATGTTGTGCCATGCACCTGGATGTAACTTGGATGCTGTGCTCTGCAGATTGTGTCATGGTGGGAATCATTTGTACAAAGTTATTTAAATACCTTTTAATTGTCAATAAGGTACAGAAACCCAGGTGCACAACTTCACATGCTATGCAACATTTTTGTAAAGTCTCATGACTCTAAGTAAAGTACTTTTTGAGCTACGTGTGACACCAAGTTAAAAATTGCAAATCTTTACTAAATCAAGGGCAACAACAATACAAATACTGAACAAGTTAAATGCTGATGCTGCACATCAAAGACGCCTCTAAATGATGTGAACAGGTAAAGTACAAAATAAGCATTGAAAATCGTTGTCTATTATAGTTGAATATCCGAATTTTTTCTCCATTTTGTGTGGTATGTGCTCGTTGTTTAATAATTAAGTTGCAGATTTTGTGAAAAAGTAGAACCTAATGCATAAATTCACAAAGTAATGACGTCTGAAATTCTGAAATGTTTGTGTTGCGACAAAGATTGAAACGTCTGGTCGAAGCAAAATAATTTGGATCACAAGAAAAATTGAAATGATTGATATAAAAGTAAATTCAAGACAACATGTGCGAGAATATGTCTATTTAAATATTGGTGCCAATTACATAATGTTCGAATGATTTGAGAACAAACTGTTCCCATTATTTTACAAATAGCAAAATATGTCTGTAATACAAATAATAGTTATGAATAAATTGTTAAATATAATCAATTCTTAGTTACGTATTGTTTACTTATTTATAAAAGATTAAACTATTTGATAACAAGAGGGCCATGATGGCCCTGAGTCGCTCAACAGAAACAACTGCTTTTTCAGTGTTGGAAATTATTTTTCAAAAGAACTTGCTGAAAGGCAAGTCCAGCTCTTTCGACTTTAACTTGCCCCTCTAGTAATATACTTTCACAACACTGATTGTTTTAGCTTTTTTTCTTCATAAAAAACAATAAGGCCACTAAGATGGCCCTAGATTCACTCATCTAACCAATCATTTCATTATTCACTATATAAATTGAAATATTTTGCCCTAATATTTTGGAAAGGCTTTGTTAAAAATATGTATGTTGCAAGTGTGTTCCTATGAGACTATGTAAGAATAAATGCAGAATAAATGACGACTAGAGCAGCATTAATTTTGACTGACATTTTTTTATAAGTTTTTTTAATGAGAACACAAAATGTCACATGCAGAACATGTAAGGTGTAGATGTTTGAAGTTTACAGTTTGGGACAACAAATTTTTTATACATTCTGTATAGTAACATAACTGTACCTCAAAAAAAGACAATAGGTCAAAAATTGTAAAAAATATGAAAAGTAGGCCAGTTGATATCAAAATTCCATTCAGCATCAGAAGTTTACACCACTAGTCCAAATTTCAAGTCTGTATGTCAAACAGAGGGCCATCATGGCCCTGAGGTCGCTCACCTGTATATAGGCCCCCCACCCCCGGGCCAATTTTTACCCAAGGGCTTTTATTTGTTTATTTGAACAGACTTGGTAGACACCCATAAGAAGATGTTTCATGCTAAACATCTAAGTTCTAGCTCATTGGCTTTTTTTTTTTAAAAGAAGATTTTTAAAGTTTTTACTATACACATATAGTTAAAAACAATGACACCCCTGGGGCAGGGCCAGTTTTGACGCCCCGGGCGTTTACTTTAACAAACTTTGTAGATATTTACTTATTAAGATGTTCATGCTTAATATCTAAACTCTAGCTATTTGGGTTTTTCCAAAGAAGATTTTTAAGTTTTTGCTATACACATATAAGGAAAATCAATGACCCCCCCCCCGCCCGGGCGGGGCCAGTTTTGACCCAGGGCTTTTATTTGAACATACTTGGTAGAACACCATTAGAACATGTTTCATGCTAAATATCTTAGCTCTAGCTCTTTGAGTTCTTTAAAAAGAAGATTTTTTAAGTTTTTAAACCATATGCATATAGGGAAAATCAATGACCCCTGGGCGGGGCCAATTTTGACCCCCAGGGCTTTAATTTGAACAAACTTGGTAGACACTCACTAGAAGATGTTTCATGCTTAATATCTTAGCTCTAGCTCTTTGGGTTCTTTAAAAGAAGATTTTTTTAAGTTTTTACTATATGCATATAGGGAAAATCTATGACCCCTGGGGCGGGGTCAATTTTGACCCCAGGGCTTTTATTTGAACAAACTTGGTAGACATTCACTAGAAGATGTTTCATGCCAAATATCTAAGCTCTAGCTCTTATGGTTCTTTAAAAGAAGATTTTTTTAAGTTTTTACTATATGCATAATGGGAAAATCAATGACCCCCGGGGCGGGGCCAATTTTGACCCCAGGGCTTTAATTTGAACAAACTTGGTAGACACTCACTAGAAGATGTTTCATGCTTAATATCTTAGCTCTAGCTCTTTGGGTTCTTTAAAAGAAGATTTTTTAAGTTTTTACTATATGCATATAGGGAAAATCAATGACCCCCTGGGGCGGGGCCAATTTTGACCCCAGGGCTTTTATTTGAACAAACTTGGTAGACATCCATTAGAACATGTTTCATGCCAAATATCTAAGCTCTAGCTCTTTCGGTTTTTTAGAAGAAGATTTTTTAAGTTTTTACTATATGCATATAGGGAAAATCAATGACCCCCAGGGGCGGGGCCAATTTTGAGCCAAGGGCTTTTATTTGAATAATCTTGGTAGACACTCATTAGAAGATGTTTCATGCTTAATATCTTAGCTCTAGCTCTTTGGGTTCTTTAAAAGAAGATTTTTTTAAGTTTTTACTATATGCATAAAGGGAAAATCAATGACCCCCTGGGGCGGGGCCAATTTTGACCCAAGGATTTTATTTGAAACAATCTTGGTAGACACTCACTAGAAGATGTTTCATGCCAAATATCTAAGCTCTAGCTCTTTGGGTTTCTAGAAGAAGATGTTTAAAGTTTTTTTCTTTTGGTTGCCATGGCAACCAGAGTTCTGCATGGAATGGAATTCTTTGAACAAATTTGTTAAGGCTTCACACAAGGAACATCCCTGTGAAGTTTCATTATGATCTGCCTTATGGTTTCAGAGGAGATGTCGTTTGAAAAGTGTGAACGGACAACGTACGACGGACGAAGAGTGATCCTAATAGCTCACCCTGAGCATATGCTCAGGTGAGCTAAAAACAAAAGGGGTCATATACTAGTTATGACCAATCTATATGACTGTGAAAGATGAAGACTATAAGTGATCAATATTTTCCAGATAATAAGAAGGAAAACCATTTTTTGGACGCCCATTTGAGGCCCTGTGCGTTTAAGACTTTGACTAAGTGTCAAAATACTAGGGGGTCATCTGCTAGTTATAACAATCATATGTGAATATGAAGACTTTTGGATGAATGTTTTCAAGATATAGATAGAGATATATGACATTTAAAGAGAGATAGTGAAAAATTAAGACACTTATGACTAACGTGAGCCAAAAATTAATAGGGGTCTTTTGTTTGTATGGACCAATCACATAATATGAAATAAATGACTATTGTGATCATACTCTTCTGAAGATACATGCAGGCAGAAACCATATATATAGATATTATATAGGCCCCTGTGACCTTAGATTATATGACCTAGTGACCCAAAAATCATAGGGGTCATCTACTAGTTATGACCAATCAGTATGTGAAGTATGACAACTTTGTGATGAATACTTTACAAGACAAGAGGGCCATGATGGCCCTATATCGCTCACCTTAAGGAATAGATCTTATAAAGTATTTTTCTTTTTAAAATACAAGCAACAGGTTTATAAAATTCTTTAATGTCATTTAAGGTTAGTGTCAAATGTAATGTTTTTTTGGCCGACAGCAACAGGAATGCTAACAAGTGTATAGAAATACTCTTTTTTTTCTTTCTTTAAAGTACAGGTTGCTAAAAAATACACTCCCTGTAGCGTGTTTACATCATGAAAATTTTAAACATGACATCATAATTAACAAGACAAAGTACAAATTTGGATAATACTTCAATAACAAGAGCTGTCGGTAGGACAGCACGCTCGACTATTCTAAGTGCTTGATAGTAAAAGAGCCTTGATAATGTTAAATTTTTAAGTTCACAAAAGGGCCAATTTTTTTTTATAAATCATGCTTATAGGCTTAGAGGAGAGTCTAATTATACAGTATTGGCTTGACTATGTGGAAGGTATAGATAGAGAGAGATAGATATTTTTAGTTTGAGCTATAATACTAATTAACTATGAATACTACAAATCTATCTGAACAGAAAGGCTAAAAGTTTGTTATTTAAGATGTTTTTCAGTAAATACTTGATATTTAATTATTATTTAATGTAGTGAGAGGTGTGCTCAATCCAAGGATAAGGATGTAAAGGTATGTGCGGAATCCTTCTAGTTCGTTACAACATAGTTAGAAGCTATAAACAGCTTAACAGTAAATATTAACGATGAAAATTCTAAGTTGAATCAGAGCACGTAGAATTCAGCTAAATGCAAGTTAATTAGAACTGCTATGGATCATTATAGATCACAGTTGACCGTACAATTTGACCTAAATGCATATGTGAAGTTTTAAATAAATAATGTTTAATAGTTATTGAGATATGTAAAATTTGCATGTAAACATTAACCAAGAGACTAAGTAGAAAAGGGGATATGAATCAGCCTTAAAGCAAGATAGAGTTATGGAACTTGGTCAGTGACATACAATTATAACCCTACAATTATGTAAGTGCATGTGTAAAGTTTCAAGTAAATATCTTTGAAGACCTTTAACCTTTAACAAAAATTTCTAAGTTTCAAAGGGGCAAATAATTCTGCAAATATTGCAGGCAGAGTTATGCAATTTTGCAAACTGGTGTACATTGTTACTATAAAAAAGTATTTTAAATTTCAATTGAATATCTCAAGCAATAATTGAGATATTTGACTTTACAAAAAAACTTTAACCAAAATTTCTAAGTTCCAAAGGGGCATAATTCTGTCAATATTGTAGGCAGAGTTATCCAACTTGTCAATCTGATGTACCTTGTTACTATAAATAAGTATTGTTAGTTTCAATTGAATATCTCAAGACATAATTGAGATATTTGCCTTTACAAAAAACTTTAACCAAAATTTCTAAGTTCCAAAGGGGCATAATTCTGTCAATATTGTAGGCAGAGTTATCCAACTTGTCAATCTGATGAACCTTGTTACTATAAATAAGTATTGTAAGTTTCAATTGAATATCTCAAGCAATAATTGAGATATTTGACTTGACAAAAAAGTTTAACCAAAATTTCTAAGTTAAAAAGGGGCATAATTCTGTCAATATTGTAGGCAGAGTTATCCAACTTGTCAATCTGATGTACCTTGTTACTATAAATAAGTATTGTAAGTTTCAATTGAATATCTCAAGTAATAATTGAGATATTTGACTTTACAAAAAACTTTAACCAACGCAGACGCCGACGCCGGGGCGACTACAATAGCTCTCATATTCTTCGAATAGTCGAGCTAAAAATGGGTCAAAGACAAAAATGGCCGGGTTGCATTTGTATACCAAATAACATGACTCATGAGGCTGTTATGTTACAAAAAAATTCCTACCATTGACCATTAATATCGATCATTTAACTAAGTCGATAAACAGGAAGTGGATAAGCGATAGACCTGAACTTTGCAGTCACAATACCAAATATCAAGAGGCTGTGATATGTATGTAGTTGCTATGAAAACTGTTACAGAAATTTCCTTCCATTTACAATTAATGCCGAAAATTTCACTAGGTCAGAAAACTGAAAGTGGATGAGCCACATACCTGAAATCATATCAATGCTGTATACCAAACAACAAGAGGCTGTAATAAGTAGTTGCTGAGAAAATTGTTACGAAAAACTTGTACCAAAGACCATTATTATGAATTTAACTAATGAGAAAATTGTTACGAAAAATTCGTACCATTGACCATTATTATGAATTTAACTAAGTTAACATGAAGTGGATGAGCGACAGACCTAAAATCGAATCCCATGGTATGGGACAATGTGTTAATGCTGCATACTAAATATCATGAGGCTCTGATAAGTAGTTGCTGAGAAAACTGTTACGAAAAATGACCCAACCTGCCTGCCCGGAATCAAGTCTCAATACATGATGGTAAACAGTATTCTTTTTTTCATATATGTAAATTTTTTTCGAAAACCAGTATTATAGTTGTAACAGATATCCCATTAGTGTTTAAATATTAAAATATTTTTTGATAGTGTTTACTCAGGGGTATCATGTTGACCCAAGCATCTGTGGTTTATCATATTAGAACACCCTTTCTAAAAAAAAAAAACAACAACAACAAACAGCAGGGATCTCGGGAAGGTCAGAATTTCACGTGGCAGACTGTTTGACCAAAATTTTCATGAGACAATTCAGTTTTTTCTTCTCTTATTTCTTTACATGAACCATTTTCACGTTTCAAAAATGTATTCAAAAATTACTGTTTGGGAAGATTTTCAAGCTTAAATTGATTATATTGTGAGGTTAGCCTCGTTGTACCATCTCTCGAACAGTAATTTCACTTAACTGTAATTATTTTTAGGATGTGAAGTGTCTTTAAACTTAGTAAAGTTCTTGATTGTAGAGGCATGTATTGTGTCCGTTTTGACCTACTTAAAATTTGTCAACATGACCTTTAAAAATGGCTGCCGTGAACTCATTGGGGTGCTTGATTAGTAGAACAAAGCTGACCCCTTGTTACCAATTATCGAACCAAGTTATTTATAGTGTATGAATAACATTTAGAAAGAGGAGACCATTTATATTGAAACTATAAGCATTAATTAAGTTTTCTACTGTAACATAGAACAAAACAAACACATTTTCATTTATTTTCATGTCATGTCACATTCCTGGAGTATTCATCTGATTTTTTAAATACAACAGCTTCTCAAATCAGAGGCAGCTTTATTTACATCAACCAAAATTTGATTATTCCTTTTCAACATTGATAATGGTATCAATTGCATATTGAAAACAATAGAAGAAATATATTTAGTGGTGTTAAACTTGATTTATCTTGTTCGATTAAATATTTGATTGAACAAAATAATAAATCAAGAAACTAGGTCAACGTTGACAGTTCATAAAACAAATCAAAAATACAGTAAAATTACCCTCATATTTTCTTGAAAGAAGGGTTTATAAAATATTCTTATTGTTCTCACTTATTCCATAAATCTACATTAGTAAAGTGGTTACTTTACTACAAAAATACACGATTTCAAAAATAAAAGTAGGCTGCCATTTTCCTAAAATTGAACTTTCGTCTACTATTAGAATGGTCAAAATGAAGCTGTAAATATGGAACTTTGCCAAAACAAAGCAAATGTAAGTGCTTGTCACTTTATTAAACTATCTCTTGCTGCACAACATAAATTTGATTTGTCAAATATAAAATTTATCACTTTGGTCGAGAGATGGTACTGTTCGAGAGATGGTATCAAAAGGCTAAAAGTTATTTTAAAATTACGTAATTTTCTTGCTTAGTTAACAATATGATAAAGATAATTAAGTATTACTAGCACCATGGATAATTACCATAATTATTGTTCCATTTTCACTTACATTTATTGAGGTCAACATGTACATGTATAATTTGTTGGTATGCATTATTTAATGATTTGAATCGTATGATTGATCTCAGAATGAAATATTATGACATAATTCGTTCATCAGTAAGAGCGGTGTAGATATGATTTTTCCCGCAAACCGGAAGGATACAAAAAGTAATATCCGTACTGTAAATTAAACTTTTATCTTAATCAACTAATTTTTGTGGAAAAAAAAACAACATTTTTTGTTCACTTTCATTTCTTTGTGCAATATCTTACACAATAAGATGTGCAAGTCATTGTCAAGAACCGAAATATTTTACATTGTATTTCGGAAATGACACAGTCTTCCTTTCTGATGGTGTTACGAAATTAATGGAAGAATTCATTATTGAATGGGGAAATCAACTTCACTGTAGCTCTCAAATTTGTGCTATTCTGATTAACTCTGTTTCGAATTAACATTCACGTTCAACAAACTTTTCATCCTTCTTATGCTTTAACAGAAAAATCTTCATAACAATGTCTGTTGAGACAAAAAATACAAGATACACTATCTCAAATTATCCCTACAAAGAAAGTCTATAGAACCTTGCAATAAAAAAACCCTTTAACTCCCAAAACAGAGACCAATTTTCAAGTTTAGACCATAATTTGAATATACTTTGTAGGAACTAACAAGCTAATGCCTTGTAAGAAATATCTAAGCTCTAGCCCTTTCCATTTTGAAGTATAAGTACTTTTAAGTTTTTTCTTTTAGTTGCCATAGCAACCAGAGTTTAGCATGGAATGGCATTCTTTGAACAATCTTGATAGAGCTTCATACAAAGAGTATTCCTGCCAAGTTTCATTAATATTGGCCAAGTGGTATTGTAGAAGATGTCGTTTGAATAAAATGTGGACGGACTTTGTGCAAGGTGAGCTAAAAAACGTAAAAACTAGAATCAGAAATCTTGAAATTTAGTCTATTTGTTGCCATAGCAACCAGAATTTTCAACACAGGAAGAAAAGAAAAGGATGTGCATAATCTCCAGACTGCCATCTACCCATATTTCAAGTGTCATAAAAATATTTTCAGTACTTTTTGCATTATCACTGGATCCAGGTTATGTGTAAAATTTGCCATATTTTCAGTCTATTTGTTGCCATAGCAACCATAATTTTCAACCTAGGAAGAAAAAAAAAAGATGTGCATAATCTCCATACTGCCATCTAACCACATATCAAGTTTCATAAAAATATTTTCAGTACTTTTTGCGATATCGCGGGATCCAGTTTTGTGGACGGACGGACTGACGAACGGACAGACAGATGTTCTGACGGACGGACGGACAGAGGGTAAACCTTAAGTCCCCTCCGGTAAACCGGTAGGGGACTAATAAGGGCTTCTTCACTGTTATTATTCTTAAATGTATGAAGATGTTGTCCTAGACGGTGATTCTCTGCATTCATTTTATCACTGAAAAATTAAAGTCATGCATTTTTCCCAAATTTTTAACAAAACATCGCTGAAATTCCCAATTCCATGGGTATGGGTCATATTCCCAAAATCCTGGAAAAAAACCCTGTGCAAAGTCCCAGGTGCATAGCTTTACAGTGATGTGAATTATTATTCCTGTAATTTAGTGATGTTGATCATTATTCCTGTAAAGTTTGTTGATTCTAACTCAAGCACTCAAGGAACAAATAACAACATAATGAAACAGTTTTTACTAAGTCAAGGGAAATAACTCTACAAATACTGGATAAATCCACAAGCGAAACCCCAGGTGCAAAACTAAATATGCTGAGCAACCTTCCCGTAAGGTTTAATGACTCTAGGTCAAATCCTTTTTGAATTACATGAGACACAAGTTGAAAATTGCAAAATTTTATTAGTCCAGGGCAATAACTCTAAAAATACTATATAAATCCAGACGAAAATACCTGGTGCACAACTACACATGCTGATCAATACTCCTGTAAAGTTTCATGACTCTATGTCAAATACTTTTTGAGTTACATGCGACACAAGTTGAAAATTGCAAAATTTTACTAAGTCATGGGCAATAACTCTAAAAATACTAAATAAATCCAGACGAAAATACCCAGGTGCACAACTACACATGCTGATCAACATTCCTGTAAAG